GCGGGGCGGGCGGCGGAGGCGGGGGGAGAAAACACTCGGACGTCCGCCCCGAGCTCTCATGTCCGCGCCGGCCGGGTCCCCGCTTCCCCGGCGGGGGCTTTCTCGCCTCCTGCTGCTGCTGCCGCTGCTCATCTTCCTCCAGCTCCCCTCGCGGGGACGGGCTGGTCGCTACGATCCCACCTGGGAGTCGCTGGATTCCCGGCCGCTGCCGCCCTGGTTCGATGAAGCCAAGTTTGGGGTTTTCATCCACTGGGGCGTTTTTTCCGTGCCAAGCTTCGGCAGCGAGTGGTTTTGGTGAGGTTCCCTCTGCCAGCTCTGCCACCTGCTTCCTCTGTCCTCTCCTCCCTGTTTTACTGTCCGCCTGGGGAACTCGCAACTAGTAGCGCGTGGTTTAGGACCCTTCGCTGCTGCGAAGATGGGCGTAGATGAAGAGGGCTCGAGTTGCTCTTAATCTCATTGCGAAATTGCTTTGTGGGCGTGATGTGAGGGTCCTGCACGCTCCAAAGCACTTGCCCTCTTCTAATCCTGACCCGAAGCACTACGGAGCTCTATTATCTGTCTGTCTGTCTGTCTTTGGATGTTTGGAAATCATCGGTGTAGCAGAACACTTTGCAGACTCAGGGAGGGGCACCCACAGGCATTATATCGCCTATCCCCGTGTGAAAATCTTGAACAGCAGGATTTCCCTTCACCCATTATTTTTTATAGCTAACATTCTCAACTGCTCCTTATTTTTTGGCCCTTGGAGAACTGTGCCATTCTTAATTCTCATTATGCAACTTTGCTTCTGTTTTTTTTTTTAATTAAAATGTTAGTGTGTGTGTGTCAGGGAAGCCCCATATGTATGCAGAAATGCCTGCCTATAACCTAATTTTGCTGCTGTACTCATAGGGATAAATCACAAAGTTAATTTTGAAATATAGTTTATGGGATAATTTGTAGGGTTAAGATGTGGACAACTCACTATGAACCCTGAAAGTGGGTCAAAGAGGCAGAGCTGGAGGTCAACTGAGGCCCATTAACAAGCAAGGCTCTGCTGCCCAGAACCTTTTCTTATCCAGACAAAGGGCTTTTCTTGCCTTCTACTCTTTATTCCCTGCTCTTAACCACCCTGCCACCTTGCTGTCAAAACAGGCATAGTTTAGATCAGCAATAAAGTCAATTTCTTCTGTAGTTTGTATCCTTGAGGAATTACTATCATAGCAGGTTGGCTCTACATGGGGTCTGGAAAACAGTCTGGTCCAGAATGCAGTGGCACATGCAGTTTGGGGTGGATCAGTATTTGGCCATGTGACACCACTGTTGTGCAAGATGCACTGGCTTCCAGTAGACTTCCAGGTGCAATTTAAGGTGCTGGTTATCACCTTTAAAATCCTGCATGGCATAGGGCCATAGGACCACCCATCTCCAATGGTTTCAGCCCATTTCACCAGATCCAGCAGCCTGGGCATGTTGCAGGTCCTTTCTCTAAAAAATGTCCTCTATGGGACCCAGGAGACATGCCTTCTTTGTTGCAGCACCTGTCCTGTGGAACACCTCCCCCCCCCCCCGGAGAGCTGGATGGCCCTGATCCTATTGGCCTTCTGGAAGATTGTGAAGACCCAGCTTTTCCCTCAGGCGTTGATAGATTGACTGTGTGCCATCAAGTCAGTATTGTCTCTTAGCAACCACATAGATAAATTTTCCCTATGATGATCTGTCCTTAACCTGGTCTTTCAGGTCTTCCAATATGCACTCATCACCACTGTGACTGAGTCCACCCCGTTTGCTGCTGGTCATCCTCTTCTCTTTCCTTCCGTCTTTCCTAGCATCTTTCCCCAGTGTTTTGGGGAAAGTTGGCAAATTGGACCACATTATACTCTGCTTACCCCAAACTTTGGATTTTTATATTTAGAATGTAAAACTATGTTTCCAGACTTATGGGGATTGTCAAGTTTTGAATCTGATTCTTTTAGAGAATGCATCCTGAGATTATCAGAAAATCTAATTTAAATACTGGATTCTGCACTTGCATAAAACCTGCTCACATGGTAGTATGTTCAGGATATCTGTAAGAATTTGCTCCAGCCTATCTTTATTACTACTTCTGTCACTGTATGCAGATACTGTGGGATGTTATTCCTTTGCAGGTGGTATTGGCAAAAAGAAAAGAAGGAACCTTATGTAACTTTTATGAAGGAAAACTACCCTCCTGGATTCACTTATGAAGACTTTGGCCCTTTGTTTACAGCTGAGTTCTTTGACGCCAACCAGTGGGCAGACATCTTGAATGCTTCAGGTGCCAGATATGTTGTCTTGACTTCAAAACATCATGAAGGTAAAGTGACAATACTTCTTTTGGATCTCAGTGCCTCAATTTAGTTATTTTAACCGATGAAAGGCTTGGGTGAGGCATCCTCATTATATTCTAAATAAAAAGAAGAAGATGACTGAAATTAATGCTTATAATGGCTGGGTTGACATAGGATGCTAAGCCAGGAGGAGGAGGAGGAGGAGGAGGAGGAGGATGCAATAGAACAAGCCAGGCAGCAGCAGGTAGCAGAAGTAGCTGGCCAGATCTTAGAAGCTAAGTAGAGTTGGCTCTGGTTGATATTTGGATACAGGATTGCTGGAGAATCTCAGGAAGTCAAAAAAATTCATGGAAGAAAGGAATGGTAAACCGTTTCTGTAAAAAAATGCCAAAAAGGAGGATTCCAGCTCAACTTAGGGGTGCCTTTACATCCTTTAATAGAAAAAGCCAGAATGGCCCGGTTTGCGTGATAAGTTGTAAAGGTTAGGCCAAAAATAAGGAAATTGTGTGGCTCATTATGATGTATGAACAATTAGTCACTTATATCCTACGCTTTCTCCAAAGAGGACACTGCAGAGAGGGTTGACCTTTGTGAAATAATATACGCCTAGTGGTCCTGTGTTATCTAGGGATAACTTGTATCAGTACCCAAACTTAGATCATCTTTTTGAAAGTCTGCTGCCTTATACAATGCATAGTCTCATTAGTCTTACTTCAGGAAATAACGAAGTGGCATACAGAAATGCAAAACAAAGGCTTCCAAAATATATACAATAGTTTTTTCCTAACCATTTTCTTTCTTTGATCAGGTTTTACTCTGTGGAAGTCTAAATATTCTTGGGCTTGGAACAGTGTTGATATAGGACCAAAACGGGACCTCGTGGCTGAGTTAGCATCATCCATTAGAAAGCGGACAAGCTTACGTTTTGGACTATATCACTCATTGTTTGAATGGTTCAATCCTCTCTTCCTTGATGATGCCGATAGCATATTCAAGAAACAACAGTTTCCAAATGCCAAAACTCTCCCAGAGCTCTATGAGATTGTGAAGCAGTATCATCCGGAGATTCTGTGGTCAGATGGCAATGGGAATGCCCCAGATACTTACTGGAACAGCACTGGCTTCCTGGCATGGCTTTATAATGAGAGGTGTGTCTTATTTTCATATTGAAATAATGCATTTTGCCTAAATATTTAGAAGGAAATTATGCCCTAATCATAATATGTTGTATAACTGATTGTTTTAAGCTGCAGTCCTGTTCACATTGCTGCCTTATTTTTTAATATAGCTAGGATTAGGGTAATACTACTAAAAGAAGCAATTGGGCACTATGATCTAAAACGATATCTTGATGGAGAGAGAGAATTTAGAGAATTTAGCATTTCTTCTACATGGCTTAGGAATACTTCTTGTGTCCATCCAATGACTGCCAGCTTTGGAGAATGTTGGTGTATGAAAGTCTTTGCCTTGGCCCTCTCTTTACAATACTGCCACAGAGTATAATCTCTGAGTTACTTGCATAGTTTGTACTGTTAGTAATAGGTTAGAGTAGCTCCCCTGGTGCTGATGTTAAACAATACTTTTTGGCACCAGTTAAAGCCTTATCTTCCCAGCCATTTAAATTTCTTTTAGAACTTCATGCAATTGGTTTTGTTGCTGGTTTACTGTGCTTTTATGTATTGCGTTTTATTACTGCTGTGCTTTTATTCCTATTCTTGCTGCTGCATTTTATCCTAGTGTTATGATGCTATTTTTTTCATGATTTTCTTTATTTGGCATTTTATGTTCTCAATCTGTACTGGCCAGAGAAATTCAGATCTAGGATGAATTAAAAGTTTAATGCATAACTCCCTCCTTTCCTCCAGCCTGCTTAAAGTCAGAAAAGATTTCAGAGATTTAATCCAGAGCCTGTTGGGAACTGCTGCTTAAATACATCATAATGGTGCAGCTCCTGCATTCTGCTTTCCACCTTCCGCAAACATTGTTCTTTGTATTTGCTGCCACGCATTCTAAAATACCTCTTGCAAAGGATTTGCAGTCCCATTGCATTAGGCATGTTTATGTTAACCTATCTTATCTGTAATTTGGTGTTTAATTATCTTGTGTTAAAAACATCTGCAATGTTTTTACAAATGCCCCCCCCCAAAACCAAGTATCAAATAATCAAGAGAACTGGCACTTTTTCAAGACTGATGCAGAAGCAATGGATTTAGAGCTGGCATTATAAAATTTCTAACCCAGAAATACATAATTGCTTTGATAAACTGTTATGTTTTCTGGAAATGTGTAAGAATACTTCTAGGTAGCTAGGAGTATTTTACTTGGCAGAGAATTTCAGAATGGCAAATTGCTTGTGTTACGTTCTTCTGTGCCCCTTGTTAAAATAAAGCATGCGTATGATTATGGATATTGTACTCTGAAGATTTTAACTATGGAATCCTCATGTGTGTAAGAAGCTTGCTCTAATGATTATGTCCCTTTGAACAGTACTTTGGCTTGAAGAAAGGCAAGGGCCAGGACTAGTGGTGTAACCACAGCCCCCAGCATCTCCCACCATTGCCAGGGAGCTGAGGTGATAGCAGGTTACAATTCAGCCATCTGGCAGGTCACAGATTTCTGCCTCAGGTCCAGTGGTGTCCACAGGCTCAGGCCACAGTTCTGCAGTGTTCTGTAAGTTCCACCTCTCGGGGAAGATGTGCAACATCACAAAGCATGTAGAAAAGGAGAGGGGTTTGCATCAGTGTGATGCTGCTTATGTCATTTTGTGCTCCTTCTCCCCTTCCCCACAGACATTACTGCTCTGCTGCTCTGCTCTGCTCTGCTCTAAAGCACCAATAGATAGCAAGGAAGAAAGAATTAGACTATAGCAATAGTGTCATGCATTTAATTTTTGAAAATTCTGAAATTCAAAAAATTTATCTGATATGTGCAGATTCAGGGAAAAAATAATGTTAAATCTGAATAGGGACAATTTTAAGATTTTACCTAATTGTTAAAGACATGATTACAATGAAACCTTGATTTTCCAGACCTCAGTGCAACAGGCTTTGCATGCAAATGACATTGTGCAAATGCCAGTTTGTGTTATTTGTGTGATGACATTATTTAAATAATGCAGATTATGTCATTTGTATTAGTTTGTATAATGGCATCATAGAAATGACATAATTTGTGTCATTTGCAGCATAATAGAGTCACGTTTTATGAGATGGGCAGCATATAAATACAGGTAGTCCCCGGGTTACGACCATTCATTCAGCAACTATTCAAAGTTATGATGGCGCTGAATGAATGGTATTTACAACTGGTCTTCAGAATTCTGGCCATTGCAACATCCCCGTGGTCATGTGATTGCAATTTCACACTTTCCCTCCCACCTTCCCACAAGTAAAGTCAATGGCAGGAAGTTGCAATCATATGAGGTCCTCGCTTAATGCCCCATGTGGTTCTCAGGTTACAACGTAACAGGGACTGCCAGAATTGCCATCACTAAGTGACATAGTTGTGTGATATCACACTTTACGACCGCATTGCTTAGCAGTGGAAATTCAGTTCCTAATCGCCATCATAACCCAAGGACTACCTATATGATTGAGAGAGAGAGAGAGATGACTGGACCTTTGGGAATAATGGACCTATTCTTTTTTTAGTTCAGTTGAAGAAAATTTCCCTGTATTCTGCTTTTCCTCTGGAGCTTATTTCTTATATTCAATGAAGAAACATCCCTGTATCTGCTTCTCTAGATTGCAGGCACCATATACCAACAACGTGTTTTAATTTTTCAGCCCTGTTCGGAACACAGTTGTAACAAATGATCGCTGGGGAACTGGCACAATTTGCAAACATGGAGGTTATTTCACTTGTGCAGATCGATACAGCCCTAAACATCTTTTGTCCCACAAGTGGGAGAACTGTATGACAATTGACAAAAAGTCATGGGGATACCGAAGGAATGCCCAATTAAGTGATTATCTGACTATTGAAGAACTCATAAAGGTAAGGCAAGTCGAAATGGAACCTGTAATTATATGGGAACTGCCAGTTCTTACTTTTTCAGCAAACATTAATAGCTTATTTCAAAAATGTAATAAAAGGTTATATTTTTGTTAGAATAACAAGTTAAACTTACAGAAGACCTCATCATCCTGATGCAAAACCTATACACAAGTCAGGAAGCAACAATATGGACAGAACATGGTGAAATGGACTGGCTGCAAGTTGGCAAAGGAGTGAGACAAGGCTGTATCTCTCCTTATTTAGTCAACCTATATGCTGAATACATATTAAGGGTAGCTGGATTGGAAGAAAATGAACATGGTTTTAAAATTGGAGGAAGAAATATTGCTAACCTGTGCCATGCTGATGACACTACTCTGATAGCTGAAAACACAAAGGATCTGCAAGCTGTAGTAATAAAAGTCAAGAGCACAGTGAAAAAATGAGATTAAAATTAAATATAAAGACAATGGGTATAGAACCAGCCTTAGAACTGACAGTGAAGATAGTGGATAGCGTTTGGCTTTTAGGATCAATTATCAACTGTTCAGGAACCAGCAGAAATAAGTTGCAGATCAGCATTTGGTAGGGTAGTAATGAAGGCCTTGGAAAATATATTCACATGCTGGAATGTGTGTATATCTGCAATTATCAGAATGTGCAGGCAGTGGTTTTCTCCGTGAAACTCTATGGAACCGAAAATTGTAATTTGAAGAAGTAGGCTAGAAAGAGTATTGACACTTTTGAATTTTGGTGTTGGGGAAGACTCCTAAGAATTCTGTGGTTAGTCAAGAGAACAAACAAATGGATCATCAAAAAATTAACCCAGATTTCCCACTTGAAGCACAAATCACCAGCCTCAGATGGTCATATTTGTCAAAGACGTAGCCCTCTAGAAAAGTCTATAATGCTGGGAAAGGTGGAAGGAAAGAGGAGCAAAGGATGACCAGCAGTAAGGTAGATGAGTTCATTTATTGATGGGTGCACCATCGGAAGACCTGAAGGACCAGGTTGAGGACAGATTAACCTGGATAAAATCTATTTATGTGGTCAATAAGAGCCAACACTGATTGCATGGCACATAAACTAATTAACCCTATAATTTGTTATCCTAGGTGTTGCAAAAAGCATTTAAATGGGAACATCTCCCATCTTTTCACTCTCTTCTCATCTCTTTTCCCCAATTTCTCTCCACATTTCCTCCTTCTGTTTTGGTTTGTTTCTTTGATTTGCATGAGAAATCTTGCAAATATAGGATATAGTTACTATGCAAGCTAGTTCAAACACATTCTCCTGTTGTCATCCTGTTATAAAACTTGATAAGCCAGAATATTATGCAATCAGTTTTCTCAAATACAAAGAGAAACAAGAATATGCTCAGCCAGTTTTTGCTGGCTAATTCCCAGAGAGCATCCACAGCCATTCAAGATTCTGATTTTTTAAATCAATCATGTCCTAGATCTATATGTTCATGCATTGCACTAAACCATAAAACATGGTTCAAAAATTACAGTCACTTGGTTCATAAAAACACACTAAATAAGCATAAATTGGCTTAGCTCAATGTGCGTATCACCTCTGTTTGTATAAAGCTCTATGGTTTAAAGTGCTGCACTAGAAATTTGCTTTATGTTCAGTCATCAGGTCAATCTCCATAAGAAACAAAGTTCTCTCAGCAGAAACCTTGTGGTTATTAAACAGTTTCTTTGAGCAATTTGGCAGTACATTATAGTGTTCTAGAAGGAACTATTCATAATCCTGAATATGTTATTCTGTAACTTCATAATTTCAGCATAGGAAAGAAGCTGTACAAATGCTTAAAAATAATAAGTTGTTTTACCAATGTACTGTTTTTATGAATTCAGTGAATTTTAAACAGCTCATAGGGTTGGGAAGATGTATTTCTAGGAAGAGAGGTACTGAAAATAATTTGCTACTTGTATATCCCCTAGAATATAGACCTGATGCTTCGGTCAAATGAGCAAAAGGAAACACCACAAACTAAGAGAAACTTGACTTATTAGGAAGATGAACAGAGCTGGCCAATGCCATGCGTAGGGCAAAAGATCACCATGTAAAGTACTGAGCAGGATGTTGATGAGGTCCTAAATAAGAAATGATTCAGAGAACTGGCAACTCCATTTGATTAGCTCTACTTTGCTTCAACCTACAGCAGTGCACTGGAAGCATTATAACAGAAATATTAATTTAGACTGAAAAACTGAAATAGGTGTTTTGAATTTTGGAATCCTGTATTGAGAGTTTTCCTAAATCGTTTCAGCAACTTGTAGAGACAGTATCATGTGGAGGAAATCTTTTGATGAATATTGGGCCCACCCATGACGGTCGCATTCCTGTTGTATTTGAAGAGCGCCTGAAGCAAATGGGGACTTGGCTGGCACTGAATGGTGATGCTATTTTCAGCACTAAACCTTGGAGAGCCCAGAATGATAGTATGACACCAGGAGTCTGGTAAATTCATGAGATTAGTGATCTTGGTAATATTAAAATAACTAAGTATTCTTATACAAATTTAAACTCGACAAGATTTACTTGTGAGTAACATAAGTCTTATGCTGCAATCCTACTCGTGGGGGTTTATTGTTAAAGATGTGTAAGATTGCGCGTGAATATTTATATTTTGGTGACTGCAGAAGAGAACGGAAAGCAAAATAGATGCTCAGCTGAAGATGAGAAGTTATAATTTCTTATTATTCACATTTGGTTTGGCTTTGAACATATATAATACTTGTTGCTTAGTGCTTCATTAGTTGAAACATCTCTGAAGACATTATCTGCCAGATAACATATTTAAACTATTTGGTTCCTGGTATGATACTGGATTTTTAAAAATTCTGTCAGAAATCAGAATGTGCAGGGCATTAATTAGTAATACAGGTAGTCCCCAGATTAAGAACACCTGGGTTATAGACAGCCCATAGTTAAGAATGGAGCCTACTGTAGCAAAATTGGAGTTAAATACACAATGGTTCAAATTCATTACACAACATTATTTATACTGTATTATAGAACAATACTGTTCTGGCTTACATACAAATTTGACTTAAGGACACACCTTGGGAACGGAACCCGTTCTTAAACTGGGGACTACCTATAATTATTTTGATACAAAGCTGTATTTAAAATTCAATGGATTTAAAAGAATTAAAAGGAAACATGCTTTTCTTATTTGTTTCAGTGTTGGATTTAATGGTAGAAGCGAGAGATTTACACATTTAGAAGTTTCCAGTAGGGTTGGTTATATATGGATTGGTGGACATTGCTACAGACATCAGTTGCTAATGCATACTTGCACATTGATTGGTCTTTACTATATAATAGATTTGAAAGAAATAAGAGATAAGGGCTAAACATAATAAGTGGGAGGGACACTATGTATTTACTCTGATCCAAATGAACCACTTCCTGAGACTACGGTTCACAGTTTCAAGATGAGCTTCCTTCCTGATGTAAGGTAACAACCATAGATTGCTATAATATGTTCCAGAATTGTGGTAGAACCATCCCTCCCTCACGCCCTGGCTCCCTTCCCCTCCAATCTGTTACTTATTATATACTTCAGTGTCAGTGTTATTGGCTGGAGCTGGTATTTCTAAACTATAAGCTGTTAAGGAGCTTTTCTTTTCTCCACAAAAATTTATGTGATTTTAGAACACTGAACAATCAAGTACGAGTTGGTAGAATATCAGATTCATTTATGAAAATAATCTTCACAAAACTCAAGCCTGTTTTCATTATCTCTTCCCCCATCAGCTGCCCCCATGGAAAAGATTTAGGATAACGAGCAGGGCAGGGGCCTGCTATTTTTGCCCCTAGATTTTCTTCTTCCCCCAAAAGCTAGGCATCACCATCTGCAAGCAACTTGATTTTTAAAATATTTGTTGCAGTTTATTACGGTTACTTGTCAGCAGTCTTGGAAGGATTTTTATTCTGAAAGACTGAAGGTAAATAATAGAATAAAATATCTCCATCAGGTACACATTCAAACCAAAAGAAGACATTCTGTATGCCATTTTCCTTAACTGGCCATCTTCAGGAACTCTGACACTGGGTGAACCAAAAGGTATTATTGGGAAAACAAAGGTAAGAGATTCAGATTATAGTGAAGAGATCAGAAACTGCCAACAGATGGCCTTCTTATAAACGACAGATTCTTCATACTGATCCAATAACTCTTCTAATGAATAGGGGGTTGTTAAGTCTGCCTTTCTGGTTTATTTAAAATGGTTTTTACTGTTGCCAGGTAGAACTTTGGAGAAATACAGTTAGTGTTAGCATACGGAGCATGCTGTGTCAGACTGGGCTGTGTACGTACCACAACAAACTCTTGGTCACCCTTCAGTAAATCAGAAGCACCTGGTACTTGATGCAACTGCTCATCTCTATCACCGTGTCCTACCCCACCTCCAAATTTCTTTTCAGGAACCTAAACAGGAAACGAATGGGTAATAGTTTCAGTAACCAAATAACCTAGCCATGATTGGTTTCAGGACCCTGATATGAAGATCATAACAGCAAAGGGTAGCAATAACAAGTTCACATGATAGAATGACTTCTTTAAAGTAGGCTGAAACCAGAGATGCCTGACACCATTGCAGCCAAAAATTTTTTGACTTCAGTGGAAGTTCAAAGAACTGCAGCATCCTAGAACTTTATATATTTGGATATCTTACCTATCAGCGTCCAGTGTATGAAAGTCAGTCGCAACCAGGCAAATGTGCAGAACGCTGAATTTACATAAATGGGTTTGTTTGATTTTTACTTAATAAGCTATGTGGAAAGTTGTTGGTGAAAAAACAGGGTTTTAGACCCCCAAATCAAGACAGTTGTTAGCCTACTGCTACCACTGTGGCTGAGCATGGTGTATGGACAGAGATCCATAATTTGAATTCCTGGTTTGTTTTTGTGGCTTACACAAGCCTCTAACTTGACCCAGAGAAGTACAAGACAAGAGCAAACCATGTTCACTTTGTTGTCCTGAAATGCCAATTCGTATATTTCTAGCTTAAATTATAATTCATGCAAGCTGTGATTTTGCTTATTTATTTATTTATTTATTTATTTAATTTATTAAATTTATCCCCGCCCATCTCCCCCTAATGGGGGACTCTGGGCGGCTTACAATTCATTAAAACAATAAATAAAAATTCAATTACATAAAGCCTATATAAAACAATTACTAAAAAAGAAATAGTCTAGGAGGCTGATGGTTCAGAGCAGCAATGCCAGGACTCTAAGGGGCTAGTCAACCCCACACCTGATGTCTTCCCTCCCCACCCCAGCCCGGATGGCAGAGCCAGGTCTTCAGATCCCTCCGGAAGGCCAGGAGTGAGGGGGCCAATCTCACCTCCGGGGGCAAGATATTCCAAAGAGTGGGGGTTACAGCAGAGAAGGCCCGCCTTCTGGACCCTGCTAGGCGGAGCTCTTTTACCGAGGGGGTCCGGAGCAGGCCCGTTCTGTGTGATCAGGTGGGATGGGTTGAAATCATGGGGAAGAGGTGGTCCCTCAGGTAACCTGGTCCCATGCCATGTAGGGCTTTAAAGTGATAACCAACACCTTGAATTGGACCCAGAAGCAAACTGGTACCCAATGCAGCTCGTGGAGCAACGGTGTTATATGGGTCCTTCTTGGGGCTCCAAAAATAGCCCACGTGGCTGCATTCTGGACCAGCTGTAGCTTCTGGATACTCTTCAAGGGTTTGTGGTAGTATCCATGCTTAATCCATGAATGCAGCCAATTATTTCTTTGTATAACATATGAATCCACTTTTCATTTGAAAAGCCTTTTTTCTACTTTCCTCCCCATTTATAGTTTTTTTTTTTTTTTTAATTTCAGGTGAAACTAATAGGATACGAAGAATCATTGCCCTGGATTTCTTTGGGAGAAAAAGGAATGATGGTGGCTGCACCTCTCTTACCATTCAATAAATATCCCTATCAGTGGGCCTGGACTCTACAGCTTACTAATGCACAATAGTGACAGAACCTCGTTCTGCTGAATTTTTGTAACTGGAGAAATAAGGATAGATTTAAAATAGAAAATAATTCATGCACTGATCTTTTTTATTCCTTCTCTTAATACCTTTTGAAAAAAGTTGATGGAAGAATGCATATAGCAATCACAAAAACTGAATAGGAAAGGTAAGTAAACTGGTATTGTCCAGTGAATGCTGAGATACAGAAGTGATAGACATAACAGAAGTGTTGAAGTTTATCATCTTATGCATGGGAACAATTACACAGAAATGGAAGGTTTGGATTGCAGGTTCTCCTCTCATATCTTAAAACTGAAACTTCGGCATATTGAATCTTTGGTTTGTTAAAAATTTCAACCCCTAATCTAGCTGAAGTTAAATATAGCTATTAATACAATCTTGCTCTTGTGAAACAGAATAATCTGAATTCAGTGAAAGATGTTCCCAGGTAAGGGATTTTCAGAATTGTTTTAAAATTGCAGCTTTACCCTTTCCCCAAACAATATGCTTTTATCATAACTATTTTGACTACCTCAGTGGATTCCAGAAAAGTTAGGAAATTGTCCATTGGCACTTAGATCTTAGTCTTGAGGCGATAAAAGTGGTCTAGTATTCTTTATTTGTTCTTAGCAGTACTAAATACCAAACTATTCAAACAAAGTTATAGGATATCTCTCCAAGTGGCTTAGTTCATTATTTAAAAGACATTGGCTATTACTGCTACTTAGATTTAAATTTTTATCTAAATGTTTATAATATATATCTATACAGAACACCTCTAGTGATATTGTCTAAAACAGCTTCAATAATAATTCACATTGAGATTAGCTACTGTTGCCTTCTGTTTTACAATAGCTCTTTTATTATTTGTATTAACTGATTAATGCTAATGAGTAACTGCAGCTTTGCAAATATTTGATGTTTCACAGCGTATTCAAAGAATTGGGGATAAGCTCTAAGCAATAAATTCCTACTTCCATAAACAGTATTGACTGAGACATCATGTAATCTGTCAAAATAGTTTATTGTGATTCAGATATTTCGTAGGTCTCCAAGTAATACAAATTAAAAATATTTACAAAATGAATGTATACAGCAGTAGGCATTTATAAACAGTGTAAACATAATCTTTGCTAGAAACAATACATTTCAACTCCAAATTCTTACAGCAAGCTCAACATTGCACTTTCCAGATACCGGCAGATCCTTAGCATATATATATTCAGTAGCCCCAGTCTGAAGAACCTAAAATGTACAAAGTCATCTAGCCCACTGCTGCGCTGTTTGTTTGCTCCCCCAAGTCATCTTAAGAAAACATTTGGTGGTTAAAAAAAGAAAAGCATAATTACTCATCCACCACCAGAAATACAGTAGGAGCATGATGATCTTTCGATCAAAGCCCCTCTTAGTTTATTCAGTTGTAAAGAGAGAACTGAATGGTGATTTGGTGCCAAGAGAAATTTCAGCTAAAAGCCATTCTCATTTACCAGTGGGGAAAAATGGTGTTACGTGTACCAGAGCTGGGCTTGGTTATTTTCATTCCATCTGCCCACTGTCATGTTGTGCTCTTGGTACAACTGATCGGTCCCTGAATTGGAGAGGGATTGGAGAAAGATTAACTTACCCCAGTCTGAGAAATAGACTGGACTTGGCTTTCCCATCATACTGCCTTTGTGGTGGTCTGCACACTTGTAAAGACTGGCATTAATCTTCAGCAGCTTTCTGTTGACACGGTGTTTATTGCACAAGTTATTCAAAACTGACTGCCTCAATGCAAAGGCTTACAGCACAAATGACTATATATATTTATTTTAGTCAGGAGTAGGAATTTCAGTATAAAAACTTGGAGATGTATTTTTTAAAATGTGTTTGTTTTGCAAGGCTAATCATTCTACCGCACTCTGTTAATGAGTTTCATTATCAAAATGTATAGTCACAATAACTGGATACTAAATAGTACATTCTGTATATATTGCACAGCCGTTTACTTCTCTAGTTGCTGTGCGGTACTGAAGGCTTCATACACATTAGCAGCAAAGTTTTTCACTTGTTCCATCATCAACAAGTCCTAAAAAGAATATTCAGATCATTGATATTTGCTCTGTTTTATCATAGTACCATTTTTACTATGACAGCAAGAACTGAGATTTAATTCTTACAGTACTAGCATATCCTTTCTTATTACATCTTCACTAAAGCAGTGCAAGTACTTAGAATCACAAGTAAAATGTAATGAGATAGAAGAGATGTAAAACATTTGGGAAGGGGTGGGGATGTGTCAGAAAGATTAGGCTTTCCTCCTTTATTGCTGCTTAATTACACCTATGAGAATACAGAATAGGCTGATAAAATGCCCCACTTTAATTCTGAATATCTTAATTTGCTCATGATTTGAGACGCAATCTTTTCCTATTCATATTATTTTAATTTTGTTTTAAAATTCCTTGAAATTTAGATTCAGAAAGGTTGACATATAATTCTAAAACAAGCTAAGGCTACAGTGCTAAACACACTTACCTAGGAATAAATCCCACCAAATTAAGTCTTATTTTCAACTAGGTTTGAATAGGATTGCACTATAAGCAACAAAAAAGAGGCTTTCTTACCTGAACAAAATGGCTAGGTGTTTCACTGCAGATTGAATGGATCTGCCCATTTATTATTGGGATTATCTTGGCTAGAGGAAGACTGGCACTAGAAAAACTAGGACAGGAAGAAAATTGTAGGAAAAGTCTGTCTGCTTAATTACTTTTGCAATATACTGATATCACAGCCATCTTAAGACTACAAATATAGAATATCTGCACTATGAACATAGCAGAAACTGTCCCTATACAATGCAAGAGTGATAACCAGGTGGGAATTCAAATGAATGGATCCCAACTCTACTGTTTACATTTCTCAATTTCTGTGTGTTGAGTATACATATCATAGTTTTCTGCTGGCTGTCAGGCATATTAATTGACTGCAATGTCCCAATTCAAGTATTACCAGAAGCAGGTCCTACTAAAATCTTAAAATAAGGAAGGATGGTGTTACAACTTTCCACATTAACACAACCCTGCTCAAAGACTGTCAGCAGTGGTGTGGCTATGGAAGCATGCAGGAGCAGCCATTCATGTGTTGCTCTTCCTAGGCCGGAGGGGAAAAGGTTGGCTGTTTCTCTGAGTGCTACCTAAATCCTACCTAAATTGATAGACAGCTTACAGTAAAAACAAAATGAGAAGCATTTTTGCAAAATTTATAGCTCTCTCTAAACCTGCTTTCAAAAGTTTGAGGCAGTTATGTTTGTTCAAAGATTAGGACAGCTACTCTATGGTCCCTCCCTGATCTTCTGCACACACTTACTATGAAAACACTTTCATTAGAACCATAGTGGAAGCTGTCATGATGGGGGTCTTCCATGCATCTACTTGAAATGAATTTTCCTGAATCTTTGGGAGGATTTGCAGGGGTGTTTTGCTCTCAAATGAAATACCACTGTGAACGGTTATCACTCTGAAATGTCCTATCCCACTTTTAGTGGATAGAAAAAATGATTCAATCATTCCCTAATAACACTGGGCGTATTTTTATATTAAAATCAACTTCTGTTTTTTACCTGTTCACAGAATCAGTGTGGCATATGTCCTGTTCAGTAGGTCTGAAGAATTCTGCCATGTTATCCAGTAATCGACTAAACCCTCTATTCAAGCAAGTGCTCAAAACTCTATTAAAATCTGGGCTGGAATGAAGAAAATATTCCCTGATATTATTCATAATTCTTGGAAAAAACTGTAGTTGAATATATGAACTAACACGCTGTCTCTCTCTGTGCACAAACTGAACTTTTCACCTGCAGTTCACAAAACCTGATGGGTCATAAGCTGTACAGGCATGTTCTAGGGAATTACTGATGATACTACACTGGAGGACAGAAATTCAATTCCATCGTCCCATAGCACAAATAAAGTAAACAAATAGTAAAATGATTATTAAACACAGTTACTTATACAGAAACATCCACTTAGTTTTTGATTTATCAGCACTAACATGCCAAATAATTAAGGCAAATATTTTTTATCATCTTATTCACGTTGAGGTTTCTAACTATACACATTCCTCCTCCTCCTCCTCCTCCTCCTCCTCCATTTTATGAATCAGTCTGCTTGCTACTCAGGCAATAATAAACAAATGGTTTCAGTACCCAGATTGCAGACAAGTGGTACAGGTAGTCCCCAGGTTAAGAATGCCCAGGTTACAGACGATCCATAGTTAAGAATGGAGCCTACTGTAGCAAAATTCAAGTTAAATACACAATGATTCAAGTTAAATACACAATAGTTTGAGTTCATTACACAATACTACTTATCATAGTTAAGAATGGAGCCTACTGTAGCAAAATTCAAGTTAAATACACAATAGTTTGAGTTCATTACACAATACTACTTATCATAGTTAAGAATGGAGCCTACTGTAGCAAAATTCAAGTTAAATACACAATGATTCAAGTTAAATACACAATAGTTTGAGTTCATTACACAATACTACTTATACCATATTATACAATAATACTGTTCCGGCTTACATACAAATTTGACTTAAGGACAGGCTTTGGGAACAAAACTCAATCTTAAACTGAGGACTACCTGTATTTGTCAATTTGGTTACAATAATAATTATGGCTTGCTCCAGCAGCATCCACAGTAACTTGCCATTTTGGGTCATGCATGCAATATTGCAATAAACTTAGAAAAGGGTCAGGGCTTATGCTGCAGTGCTGCTGATGTCAGTCTGACCCCTACCCTTGTCTCCTCCCACCAATGCTGCTGATTTGCTCAAACACAGAGAAGTGGAAGTCAAAGTATATGAGGGCATGAAGAGGATGCAAGGCACAAGACTATGGCTTTATCACTTAAAGGCTCAGAAATATTGCCTATTATTTGTGTAAATGGGTCTTTCATTTGTAAAGGTTTATGGAAAAAGTACAAACCACTAACATCTTAAAAGTTGAAGATGTCCAAATTTCAATTGATTCACATTTCCATTTCTTCTCATTTAAGTATCATAAGATATTTAGCATGGACACAGATTCAAGTCCTCAAACTTTTGCTACATACCTTTCTAGCATGTCTCTTGTTTCATTAAGTAACTTAATGGTAGCAACATCTTTTTCTGTAAGCTCATTAGCCTAGAATGACAGAACATAAAGGCAACTTGAATGCTTTCACAATTCATGTAACTGATTTTATCTGCTTTGAACTCAGCCATGATTATTGCAATCCTATTCAAGAGCTGAACTGGAGTAGAGTTCACTGTCTATAGGTTATGTTGCCAATGACACTGTGACAGATGGGGAAATCATTGGCAAACTACTGCATGCCAGAGTGATATTCCCCCCATCCTAAATTGGAGGATACAGCTGCTTGAACCTTTGTTTAGTACAATTCTTACAAAAACTGAAGCCAAGTAAAAGATGTTAGATTCAAGGTCAATTTCTAAATCAATGAAAAACATCCAGAATCAACCTCCATAATTATTGTTGTTCAGATTCAGACTGATTCCCTGCTCTTAATAATATGGAAATACCTGGAAAGCCAAAGGATTCTCTTCATCCGGCATCATGTAATGACATAGCTGGGATTGCAATGCGGTTTCTTCAGATGCAAAATCTTCAGGTTGTTCAATTACCTTTCTAATTTCTCGTAGCTTCTGCTCCAAATCCAACAGGGAAAGTGCATGCTTCAGAGAAACACTGCAATGAGAAGAGTTAAACATCAACAGTATGCATTCAAACCTAGTACTTTAGGTTTTTAAAAGACCCCATTTTACCTCTCAAATACATTTTGCACAGTCTTCTTAACCACACTTATTAATTCAGTCAAACCTATGACAGAAAAGGAAGAGATACTGTACTGAAGTTCAATTCCTACTTGTTCAAACTTCATAACCTAATTTTAGGTAAAATTATTTTACAAATAACTTACCATCTCCTAGGAGGTGT